AAGAAAAGAATGCCTTTCATAACCCAAGCCTCCCTTCATTGGGCTTTCGTTATGCTGTTTTTTCTTTTATGAATGTCTTCCTCAAGTCATCTGCTCCCAGTCAACACCATCACTTTCCCACCTGCTCAGGCGTTCCCAGGCTGGTGAATTCTTATCCATCCTTCAAAGCCCTGTTCAATATCCCCTTCCCTAGACTTGTAGGAAGAATTTATTATTCTCTCCATTATACCACCATAGGCTATTCTACATGTTCTCCTGCATCACCTGACACATGATTATTTATGTTGGCTGTTTATTCTTGTACATAATGAGATCCTTGAGTGCAGGGAGTTCTTATTCCTCTGATGTATTTCACCTTTGTATATCCAAGGACTAGTACAGGGCCAAGTTCAAAGTAGGCAATCAAACACACAAGTGAATAATGAGTTGCTCGAAAGGTGGAAATAAGATGAAAATAGAATATAATTCATTTGTCTGACATTCTTCCACCATTAATTTGTAATTTCACTTCTGAAATATACCAGGTATCCATACAAGTGTGATTTGGTTTCTTGTCTTTTCAATGTATACTACTGGTACCAAATATACTGGGGTTTGGCTCTCTATATGAAATGTTATTGCATCATATTCAGAAAATGGTATGTATGGTATCAATTTTTTGTATATGTTGAAGCTTAATTTGTGGTGAATTGGTACGAATATTCCAAGTGGTTTTGAAAAGTGTGTGTGTTCTTTTAATTGCTCAATATGCGATCCCTTTGGTATTCATATAGCAACTTTCTATTTGATCCACTAGTTTCTGAGAAAGATATCAAAATCATGATTGTGGATTTGTCAATTTCTCTTTGTAAGTCTTTCAATTTTGCTTTATATTTTTGAGACCATATTGTCATACTTAAGCTCAAAATTACATCTTTCTGGTAAAAATAAATCTATTATCTTTATCACCAATCATATATATATATAATATATATATATTATATATAATATATATATATTATATATATATATTTGCTCTATTTTTGGTTTCTATTGGCTAGTTTGCTAGGTATGTCTGTTTTACTTACAAAATTTCTTTCATGTTTTGGTTGGGTTTCTTGAAAGGATTTTTAAAATATTATCTGAAAATCTTTTTTGTGATGAATTAGAGCCACTTAAAATGATTAGAATTGTATAAGGATTTTTTCTGTATTCACTGTGCTTTTCCATTGCATCTTTTTTTCTCCTTTCCTGCTTTTTGTTGGTTTAATTAAATCTATATTTCTTTTTCGTGTGTGTGTGTGTGTGTGTGTGTGTGTGTGTGTGTGTATGTGTATCTCAGTCTGTTGTCCAGGTTGGAGTACAGTGGCGCCATCATAGCTCATTTTAACCCTGGACTCTTGGGCTCAAGCCATCCCCCATGTCAGCCTCCTGAGTAGCTAGGACTCTAGGCATGTGCGACTATGCCCAGCTAAATTTCAAACTCTTTTGAGAGATGGGCTCTTACTATATTGCCCAGGCTTGTCACTAGTACTTATTTTATTGGACCTCTTAACAGCATTCAACATGATTGACCATTCATTCCCTAAAACACTCTTCAGCTCTTGGCTTCTGGAACACTTCGTTGGTTTTCTCTGAATGTTTGAACACTGAGTGCTTGGGGATGAGCTCGCTTTTGTTTTCTGCTCCCTACTCTTAATATAGTCATGTGCTATATAACAATATTTAGGTCAACAACGAACCACATATATCATGGTGAACCCATAAGATTATAATGGAGCTTCCCTATGTAAGTGTACAATTTTTTTTATCTTTTATAGTTTATTTTTATTGTACCTTTTCTATGTTCAGATACGTTCAGGTACATATACACTTACTATTATGTTACAGTTGCCTACAGTATTTAGTACAGTGCCATACTGTGGAGGTCTGTAGCCTGGGAGCAATAGGTCATACTATATAGCCTAGATGTGTAGTAAGTTCTACCATCTCGGCTTGTGCAAGTACATTCTAGGATTATCCCCTCAATGATGAAATCCCCCAATGATCCTTTTCTCAGAAGGTATCTCCATCATTAAGAGATGCATGACTATACTTTTTATTCATTCACACGATTTTAAATATCTCTTCATCATAGATGGTGAAATTTATACCTCTGGTCTTTGCCCGTCCTCTGAACTATCAAATTATGAGTTCCTGCTTGACACTAACACTTGGGTTCATAGCCACATTTAACCTTAACTTATCGAAAATGGAATTCTTTAATTTCTCCCCAGAAGAGTGTCTTTCCCATCTCAGCAAATGGTATCATCATCTACCCAGTTCCTAAGCTAGAATCTCAGAGTCATTCTTGACTCCTCTCTCCCTTAACAGCCCACGCTTATTATCAGGTCCTATAAATTCCATCTTCAAAATATACCTCAAATTCATCCACTTTCCATCTCCACTGCCGGCGTCCAGGTCTTAGACTCTGCCATTGTTCAAATAGACTACAACGTGGTTTTCAAATCTAGTCCACTATTAACATCCTCCCATTCATTTTCAACACAGCTGTCAGGATACTCTTTTTTAGAGATAAATATGAGGTCCTCCAAGAACTGTTAAAAATGCATGCTTTGAGTGAGGAGACCCCCAAACAGGCTTTGTGTGAGCAACATGGCTGTTTATTCACCAGGGTGCAGGTTGGCTAAGGCCGAAAAGGGCGTTAGTGCAGGGCGGTGGGATAGGAGTTGGTTTTATAGGTTTGGGGTGGGCAGTGGAAAGTTACAGAGTAAGATCAGTTACGGTGGTGGGGGTAGGGACAAGGAGTGTACATTACCGTAAGTTCACTTACAGTGGCAGGTGGGGTAAGGCCTAAGAGCAGTTAAGATGGCAGGGTGAGGTGAGGAGTATTCACATTATCATAATAACAGTTAAGATGGCAGGGTGGGCCGGGCACGGTGGCGCGTCCCAGCTACTCGGGAGGCTGAGGTGGGAGGATCTCTTGAGCCCAGGAGTTCTGGCCTGTAGTGCGCTATGCTGATCGGGTGTCCGCACTAAGTTCGGCATCAATATGGTGACCTCCCAGGAGCGGGGAACCACCAGGTTGCCTAAGGAGGGGTGAACCAGCCCAGATTGGAAGTGGAACAGGTCAAAACTCCTGTGCTGATCAGTGGTGGGATAGCGCCTGTAAATAGCCACTGCACTCCAGTCTGGGTAACATAGTGAGACCCCACCTCAAAAAAAAAAAAAAAGGAAAGGAAAAAAAAAAGATGGTAGGGCGGTGGGGCAGGGGGAGATCAGCAGAGGCAGGCAGGACTAAAGACTTTCTGGGTCCAGGCTTGCACATGGAGGCCTGACAAGAACTTCCTGTACCTAGATTAAAACCAAATCCACACTCACGAATAAAGCCTTTAAGGCCCTGTGAAACTTTTCCTCTCCTACCTTCAACTTCATCTCAGTTCCTCTCCCCCAAACTTCTGGTGTTCTGGCCACCCTGGCCATCTAGTTCCTTCATCACAACAAGTTCTTCTGCTCCTGCAAGCCCTCCATGTATTCTTTCTGCTGGGAACGATCTCTGTCCCTTTCTCTTTCCCTGTGGAAGAGAACTGGCTCTTCTTTTCCAACAGGTCAACTTCCGAGAGAGGCTTTCCTGACCATCCTGGATGCGGTTGGGCCCCCCTTGCTCTCTCTAGTAGCAGCCTCCTCTTTTTTCCTTCTGTAGCCCTTTTGATAGTTTTTTTTTTTTTTTCCTGGAGTTGCATTTTACATATTGTTTTATTATATTTAATTGATCCTCACAGCAGATTAATAATTGACTTTACTGCCATAATTAAGCATTTCTAGTAAAATGTTAAGAAAGGTATGATTGCTGAATTTAGAAAATGTCCACCTTTAAATAGGATACTTTATTGAGGAATTCTTTTAGTACCGATTTCAATCTCGGTGGGCCTCTAAGTCAGTTACGACATTTGGCCCTGTAAGTACTTCTGGGATGAATTCTCTGCATTCCTGTTTAAAAAAAAAAAAAATGCTTTGTCATGTCTTAGGGTCATTCCCTAGAAAAATGTTGAGAATTTTTTTGTATCCTTTTCAAAGCAGAAACTATATAGTAGGCACTTTGCATGTGATCAACTGAAATGCCAGAATGGCTACTGTAACTTTGCTTTATTGCAGTCACAAGTTACTCTTTTTTATTTATTAACTAGCTTATCTTCTTTCTCTGCTTTTACTCATCAGTGAGTTTCCTCTTTCATGCCAATATTTTTGCTTTGTTTTGTTTTTATTTCAAATCATAATTTAATAGAGGAGGACCTATGCCTCAATAACCAGAGATAAGAATGTCTTTACTTTGTGATATTCAGAATATTTAACAACTAGCTGGGCTATCAAACAATGAGACCAGCACTTTGGTCAACCAGGAGAGATTTTCAGCTTACTTACCTGAAGGCCACACTAAGTCCTACTGAATATAGGCACAATCTGTGGGGAAAGCAATTCCATAGGCCCCACTGGCTGCCTGCATTTTTAGCCAGCTCCTTTACTTTTTAAAATGCCGTTTTTTGGAAGTAGCTCAAAGACTTGGAACCTTTTAATTATCCCATAATCATGTCTTATTTATACCTTCCTGCATACTGTAGAGATGGGAAACTTCAGTCGAAAGGACACAGTAAATGAGTTCTGCCTTCCAGAATTTGCTGAGCTAAATGCAGGTTATAGCGCCCAGCTTGGGCTGCTCTCTTGGGTTTGTCCACACAGGGCCTTGTGGTGGGTGGTAAGAGTGTCACTCAGCTGATGCCATGACCTATACTCTGTTTGTCCATGCTCCTTTCTGCCTCTGTCCTGGGGCATGTCCTGGATCGATGAAGGATTTTCAAAGATCAAAGCACAGGTCTGTTTTCTCAGGAGCTGTTTGCAGCTGCCTTACTGGAAGGAAAGCCCAGTGGGGGATGGTTCCTGCTGATCTTCCTTGATGTGTCTGAGGCTAACTGCCTTTACATGACTCTGAATTTTCTGACATTTTTCTTCTTTTTGGATCACAGGTCCACACATTCCGAGGCCCACATTGGTGTGAATATTGTGCCAATTTCATGTGGGGGCTCATCGCCCAAGGGGTCCGGTGTTCAGGTAGACACAGAACTTTCTTCTTCTCCAATTATATAAAATGCCACTGTGCTGAGCTGAAGGATGTCTCTCCAGCGCTGGGAAGCATGCTCAGATCAGCTCAAAAGTCTAGCTTTCTGCAGGGTTCAAGGCCTGTCTGTACTTAATGGGGAAAGTAGTTCACCTGCTTGCAGGAATGAAAAAGAATATCTCATGTTTATGCAAGGAAAGAAAAAAAAAAAGTAAATTTCCTTAAACACCTACCTGCCTCACAATAGGCAGTAGTCCTTAAAAGAAAAAAAGAATCAATTCCAATGGAAGTGCATAGCTTGAAAAGCCACACTTTTTCCCACCCCATCTTTCTGCAAAAGGTAAGACATAAAAATGGTAATAGTGCTGGTAAAAATTAACCACACACCAGGTACCGGCTAATCTCTATTTATTTATCATGTCATTAACCTCACCAACAGACCTTGGGGGAGATGCGATTATCCTCAATTAAAAAAAAAAGAAGATATGGAGGCTTGTTCTTTGCCCTTGCTAGGCAGTAAGGAATAGAATATTGATTCAAAGGCAGCCAGATTCCAGAGCTCATGCTCAGTATCTCTTTGTCATCAGATTAGCAGTGAAAGTACGCACTCAGATATCACATATTTTCAAAGTAGTTTGAAAGCCTGGGTGATTTTCCACCTGAAATTGGAGGTATACAACTATTGGTAATAGCACACATCTTATTAAGGTACATCTAACACAATGATAAAGAGTTGCCAAATTAATGTGCAACTGGGTTTCCTAATTCATCTTGCCATGATTTTTCTGGCAAACACTCGTGGCTGGGAGCAAGACCAGCCTCCTCTGATATTGATTGGGTTTCTACCAATACCATGACTGACTTCTTCCTTGCTAGGATATGATTTTTAAAAATCTTAGGAGCATTTAGAATACAATAATGTAATGACACTAATTAAGAAGGTGATCGTTCCCATTTTGGCTCACAGCATCATGTAACCTTATGTCCTCCTCTCTGCCTGGAAAGGGCTTCCAGCCTCTATTGTGTAAATATAGTAATTACTGGTGTTGATACCTGGATGGTTCAAGTAGTTCTGGCTCCCCCACTGCAGGTCTGTGTTTAAGCATGGTCAACAGAGGCTCAGAAGCAGCTTCTCCAGAAATATTCAGAAACCCTGATTAACACCAAAGACTGACTTGCCAGGAGTCGCACAGTATCTCACAGCTTAGCCCCTGAGCAAAGGGATAGAATATCTGAATTACTCAGTGGTCATTAATTTGGCCTGTCCATATTGTACTTACCAAAAATATCCCTAATTGCTGATATTATCCAATTTCAGCAAGAAATTGCTCCAAAGTCAATATTAGGAGAACAAAACTCTGGGCTTCATATTAGCTGTGAACAGCGACTTTTCAACTTTCTCTGGGATAGAAGAGTTTTTGTTTTTTTTCTCTGTTTTTTTTTTTTTAAAGACATTTTCTAAGGCCATATTGTTAGTATTTTTCCAGTGGCTACTCTTTGGCCTTATATTTCCTCTTAGCAGAAGGTAGGCTGAAAACTGATCATGAAAGATTAGGAAGAACCATCATTGCCTCTCAGCTTTCCATATATTAAGTATTTTTTAGAATGCACTGGACTTTATTTGTAGCATATGGAGTTCTATTACTTTGTAAAAACTGGAATATTTTTACATTTATTATAAAACAATTTTTTTTTTTTTTGAGAAGGAGTTTCACTCTTGTTGCCCAGGCTGGAGTGCAATGGCGCAATCTCGGCTCACCGCAACCTCCGCCTCCTGGGTTCAGGCAATTCTCCTGCCTCAGCCTCCTGAGTAGCTGGGATTACAGGCATGCGCCACCATGCCCAGCTGATTTTTTGTATTTTTAGTAGAGATGGGGTTTCACCATGTTGACCAGGATGGTCTCGATCTCTTGACCTCATGATCCACCCGCCTCGGCCTCCCAAAGTACTGGGATTACAGGCGTGAGCCACCGCGCCTGGCCTATAAAACAATTTTAATAAAATATCAGTATTAAACTACATAAGCATATTGTTGCTTTAGGTCTTAAATGAAAGTATATGATTCCTATTATATGTGGTACCTAGGGTAGCAATTCCCAGAGGTAGAAAGCTGAATGGTAGTTACAGGGGATGGGTGGATGGAGAGTTTAATGGGTATTGAGTTTCCATTTTGGAAGATGAAGAAAGTTCTGGAGATGGTAGTGGTTACATAACAGTGTGAATGTACTTTATGCCACCAAATCATACACTTATAATGGTTAAAATGATACATTTTATGTATATTTACCAGAATTTAACAAAAAAATGTAAATGGAGTTTGTAAGACATCCTAAGAATTCCTAATGAAATCACTTAAGAATAGCTGGGCAGATATTCTTCCATTTTTTCTCACCATATTTGCTACTTATTTTATTTGACTTTATACATATACAAAACTGAGTATATTTCAGAAACTAGGCTAAACATTTTACCTTCTATTTGAGCCTCATGGCTAATGCCAAGAGGTAGGTGATATTATGATCTCCTATAAAAGAGGATTCAACAAGAGAACCAGCCAACTATATTGAGTGCAGTTAGCCAAAATTTACATTCACTAGATAGATGTATCAAAATATTATTGAAGTCACTTGAGCTTTGTTGAATTTCTCACATTGATAAAGAGATGAATTAGAACTGGTTTTGTTTTTTTTTTTTCCTTTGGAAGGAGGGTAGACAGAGAACTCAGCCAATAAAAATTCCATGAAAATCACTTAGAAATTACCACTGATTTTATAAAAATTTAGATCCTCTCAGGTTCTTGGTGTGGTTAAGTCCTATTTTATAAAGCAGCTGACTACAATATTCATTGTCTTCTGTGTTTGTTATTCTTTGTGCCTAGGAAAACAGTATTAGAAGACACTCTGAGTAGACAGTACATCAACTTTGAACAACTTCAGTACTGAATTTTTATCTTTCAGAATGTAACAGAATATGGACTGTGCCTTTTTTTTCTTGAAACAGAGTCTCGATCTGCCACCCAGGCTAGAGGGCAGGGGTGCAATCTTGGCTCTCTGCAACCTCTGCTTCTTGGGTTCAAGTGATTCTCCTGCCTCAGCCTCCTGAGTAGCTGAGATTACAGGTGTCCACCACCAAGCCCAGCTACTTCTTGTATTTTTAGTAGAGATGGGGTTTCACCATGTTGGCTGGTCTAGAACTCCTGGCCCCAGGTGATCTGCCCACCTGCCTCAGCCTCCCAAAGTGCTGATTACAGGCATGAGCCACCACGTGCGGCCAACTGTGCCAGAGAAATTCCATTAGTGGCTATCGACTGCTAACAGGCTCTCCACTAGTTCATTTAACTTTAAAAGCACCTTTTTCAGCTTTGGGTTTTCCTATGAACTTTACAAATAACATTACATGGCATTGGTATAAACTCTCAAGTACTCCTACTGGTAAATATAGTTAGGCATTATTTCCACTCACAGGTGTCAAAATAAGGCACATAAAAAGGAGAGCAGCCTTCCCAAACTGCCCAAGGAGGAAGGGATTGGAAACTATGGAGCCACCTTCCAGGAAAGGGGAAAAGAATACCAGTGGTCATGGGCTCCTCAAAGCACAGATTAGAGAGCCCTGTGGAAAGAGCATCTCTGCCTCCCACACAAGGATCCTCAAGAGCTCAAAGGAAACACCCTGGAACAAGCCCTAGGTGCCCTTTATAAGCCAGGACTGTCTGAGAATCCAAACCCAAAAGCCCATTTGTGGACCCAAAGGGTTCCAGCCTGAAACAGGGAAACATATACAAAAAAAAAAAAAAAAAAAAAAAAAAAAAAAAAAAAAAAAAAAAAAAAAAAAAAAACTGATCAATTACCTAAACTATCTCAGATTGTCTGTTCTTAAGGTCCAGCAACAAAGAAGGCTTAATGAGAAAAATGGAATCATAGAAGGGTTTAGTGATTAGAGATGATACTCCTATTCATCCTGTAGAGAGTATCCCCTTGAAATGAGATACATGTTCCAGAGAAATAGGTCAAACCCTTGGGTGGTGATATTTTTATTTCGGGCAACATATAATTTGCATTGCGCTTTGACAAAAGGGCTGGGCTTGGGCTAATATGGCTTCTTTGTTTACAGACTGTGGACTGAACGTACACAAACAGTGTTCCAAGCACGTTCCCAATGACTGCCAACCTGATCTCAAGAGGATCAAGAAAGTGTACTGTTGTGACCTCACAACACTCGTGAAGGCCCACAATACTCAGAGACCCATGGTGGTGGACATATGCATTCGGGAAATTGAAGCAAGAGGTTTGAAAATAATTCCTGTTGTAGTATAGTGATTCCATTTTTATTGTTTGTTTTTACTGTTGCTGAGGAAACGGAGTTGCTCTACTACTCTTGCTGGGAAAATGACCTACGCATGTGTGCACGCATGCACGCACACCTGTAGTTCCAGCAGCTCGGGAGGCTGAGGCATGGAAGAATTTCATACTTTAGAGTGGGCAATTGGGGGAGCAAATAAATAAACATTGTGGATGGCTATGTTCAACGTACCGTGGAGTCACAAAGGAAAGTGCTTTAATCCTATTTGAGGACAAGTGAGAAAGGGTTATGGCAGAAATGAGGCTTGTATTGGATCTTTGAGAAAAAAAAAAAGGTACTTCTATTAAATAAGAAATTGTTGAGCAGCACCTCTCCAACCATTTAAAAATGTGCTCCTAATATGATTGAGGAAACTTCAAAGATTTAAGAGATTTATGCAATGAAAATAAAGGAGACAAGATAGAAGCATTTCAAAAAATGTTCTTTATGTTGTACATGGGTAACTTTTCCTTTATTTGTGCTTTCTTTGGCCACTATTCAGCATCGAAATGTTCACAGACGTGGCAGACCAGGTCTGGTTGAGGAGAAGTTGGATTGCTGGATGTAACTTGGGAGATTTGGCCATGTATAGAGCCTTTTTATAAGGCATAAACCATTTTTGCCATGTATCATATTCTGTTATACTTGGGATCCATTATTGCGTCCAGATTGGCTTAATATATTTTACACATATATATTTATTGGTCAACTACCCCATTTTTTCCAAAGCAAAACTAAAGAGGATGTCATAGCTTATTATTCCAACCCTTTGGAGAGAGGAAATTATTCCCTTTTCTGTGGAGGGGAAAGCCATAGCTGTCCTGTTCCCCGATGACTTCTAATTTAATCTCAGAGTGTAAGAAATGCCTTCTGTATTTTCATTGCTGTGGCTGACAGAGCTTAATGAGTGCTTTGGGATCTGGTGAACATATTGATCCTGTGGCTAAACTGGGTGAGAGGAGAGGAAGGATTCTCTGCCTCTGGATGAGTGGTTGGGACAAGTGGCCCTGGGCTCTGCAGTTTGGAGGCAGATTATCTGCTTCTCCAGAACTTGCACTCAGGGCTTTTCTGAAGAAGCTGGGTTCCTCCCATTGTGATCCTTAACAGAGAAAACTGATCATTCAGACAACATTACTGCCGTGTCTAACATTTCAGAATAGGGAGCACAGCACTAAGTATGCCTAGTATAAGAGCTAGACAGAATGGCATAAATTAGGAATTTACACCAAAAGAATCGTAGCACAGGAATTAAAGCCCCAGCTATTAGGGCCCGAAGCAGACAAGCAGAACCAGAGAATGGGCTGGGAGAAATTTGTATGACACTCAAATTCCCAGCTGTGGGGTCACCACTACCAACATCTTTCCATGTCTTGCATTCACAGAAAATTCCTTATTGTCCTCCAAATGTTCCTTTATGTTCATTTGTCTCTGCCTGATGTGGTAGAGTGGAAAGATCAAGGACTTGAACTTAAATTCCCAGCCCCGTCTCTTACTGGCTGTAGTGTGACCTTGGGCAAGTTACTTACTATATTTAAATATCTGTTTCCCCAACTGTTATATGAATGGAACCAACTGTACCTCAGTCAATAAAATAAGTTAGTGGGGATTAAACTGATTGATACAAAAACGGACCTAGTACAATGTCCAATCTACCGGACTCAGTTTTTGCCTTTACTTGGAATGACCAAACCCATACCCCCACCTCCAAATCTAACTATATTACTTAGCCTGTACATCTCAGTGCTGTCACAGAGATCCTGAGTAACAGTGCCTTTGACAAGATAGAAATCTATTTCTCTCCGTAGTCATAGTCCAGGTACCCAGGAGCAGTCCAGGAATGGTCTGATACCCACGGCAGGCAGCCAGGCGCTGCAGCTTGCTGCTCTGTCCTGCTTGAGTGCTGTCCTGAGTGCAGGATCACAGTTGGTCACCACCATGTCATCTGTATGTCACCAAACAAGCGGAAAAGGGCATGCTCAGTTCCTTCAAGGCCACAACCCAGCAGCTATAAATGTCACTTCTGCTCTCACATGGGCCAGAGTCTAATGACCACTGCAATGAATATTCTAAAAATCAAAGGTTTCGCTACAACAGAAGAACGGGAGAACAAATATTGGAAGGACAGCTGGCAGCTTCTGCTACTCTGGCAAACTGTAACTCATCCTTTATCATTTCCTTCAAAGATTAGCTTCTCAAAAAAGCATCTTGATATAATATAGGATGATGCTTTGCTCAGTGAAGCATGGGCTGGGGTCAGGAAGATTATCCCCATTTAATTATACTCTAAACCATACAACTCGGCATATAGTATAAGGCATAGAATTTTTATTTTACTTTTAAGTTCTGGGATACATGTGCAGAACATGCAGGTCTGTTACATAGGTATACATGTGCCATGGTGATTTGCTGCACCTATCAACCCGTCATCTAGGTTTTAAGCCCTGCACGCATTAGGTATTTGTCCTAATGTTCTCCCCGCCCTTGCCCCCACCCCACAACAGGCCCCAGTGTGTGATGTTCCCCTCCCTGTGTCCATGTGTTCTCACTGTTCAGCTCCCACTTATGAGAGAGAACAAAAGCATGGATTTTACTACGTTCTTTGAAAACCTGGATTTCTTTGAAAGTGACTCAGTGAATCTTATGGTTGAATGTTTGTGTCCCCCGCCCCACTAAATTTACATATTGAAGCCCTAATCTCCAGTGTGATTGTATTTGGAGATGGAGGTCTCCAAAGAAGTAATTAAGGCTGAATGAGGTCCTAAAGGAGGGACCATAAGCAATACGTGGAATGTCCTTATGAGACGCCAAAGAGCAAGCGCACTCTCTCCCTCTCCATGCGCATATACCAGGAAAAGGAAGTGTGAGAGAAGGTGGCTGTCTGTGAGCTAGAAAGAGAGCCTCACCAGAGGCCAGAACTTGGATTCATCCATCAACAAGCAGGGTTCATTGTCCACTGCTGGGGGCTCCCACAATCCACTGGGTCCATGCCTCTGGGGCAGTGCGTGTTCTAACTGGACTGAGATGCGTTTACATGCACCAGCATCTTAGAACAGGATGACCCACAGGTTTTGTCTTGTGTGACAACTCCGGTTGATCAGTAGCGGTCACCTGAACAACTGGTACTTAGACAAATTCTGAGGCCAAAGAGGGCTCAGTGGGAAAAAGGGCGGAGATCAACTAAGCGCATCTGTCATGGTCACAGGAGGGAGGAGGGGAAGTATTTGTGATTTATACCATATATTTGTCGTCTCTGATGCATACCTAATGAAGACCCTTATATATGGCAGATAGTATACACTCCATAAATGTTTTCCAAATGAGAAAACAGGAGCACATGTGAATTATCAAGAGTTTGGCAGAATATATGGCAGCAGCAGCAGAAGCTATTTGTTTGCTTGTTTTTACTGTAGCTATAGTTTTGATAGCAGCTAGTTGTGACATACAAACTCTAAAATCTGGTTCTTTATCCCTGCTCATACTTTTGGGAACTGACTCATTTTTAGGGCATTGTCTTAACAAATCAATAAGTTCCAGGAACAGAAACCAAGTCTTTTTCTTAGTCTAAATTTGGAGTGATCAAATTTCTAGAAGCAAGAACTAGAACTTTATTTTCCTGCATCTGTTTGTATAGTCAGTTGTCAGAAGGTATAACAAGTAATCATTTTTAAACAGTTAACATATAGTCTTATTTATGAGTAAACATGAAAGGCTGTAATATTCTAATTTTTTCCAATAAAATCAGTGTAATATATATTAGATACCCACATACATACATGTGTGTATCTAGTACAGTGCTACATACAATACAGCACATGGATTAAGATGATGCTAGGTACCCCATGTACCCTGCTGTGATTATTACACATTGTATGCCTTTATCAAAATATCTCATATACCCCGTAAATATATGCACCTACTAGTACCTAGAAAAATTTTAAAAAGAAAGATGATGCTAGGAAGAAAGCCGGGTTACTTTCCACAGTGATGAAATTCGTGTTCAGCAAGCTCATGAACAAAGGAAGGGAAGTAAAGGAATGGTCCATGAGAATCTTAAATATCAGTTCTCTTTGCAAAGTCAGGAAGCAGGAAGACTGGATTTCCACTGAGCTCTGCACTGCTACACGGGCAAATGAGAACAGACTTGCCTGGAAACTGTGACAGACAAGTCCAAGTTGTGACGCAACAGTGTGTGATAAATAAGATCGCTGACTGTATTTGCTCATTTCCTGATAGCATGTAGTGTAGACATGAAATTGGAGTCTTTTTTTAGATGTTTCAAGAAGCTAACGTCAGTCTGTCTCTCTAACAGGATTAAAATCGGAAGGCCTTTACAGAGTCTCTGGGTTCACTGAACACATTGAAGATGTCAAAATGGCATTTGACAGAGGTAAGCTTGTACTTTCTTGAATGCCATCTGACATCATAACACCTCTCTCATTTGGAACTAGATTTGAATCACAGCAGAAATGGGGTTTTCGAACTACTAAGAGTTACTCTTCAAGAAATGGAGGAATAATGGCTTACACATCTCATGTTTCTGCCTCTCTGGGTGAAGTGTTTGTTTAGCAGCCATTGACAAGTGATCACTGTCAATGGGCAGCCAATGCACATGGCACTGGAGTCCCCTTCTGCATCCCCTGTCTCAGCATCCCATTCTTCTCCTTCTCTCAAAGCTCCAAAGAAGGCATCAGAGGGATGGAAGGGCACCCCCAGCACTAACGTAGGGGAAGCCAATGGATGTTTAGGAGGGAACCGCTTTTCTCTTAGCTTAGATATCATGGTCAACCTGGGGATCTTGTTAAAAATACAGGTCACTAGAACCCAGCCCAAAGACTCACTCAGAAAGCTCAGTAAGCCCAAGAATCTGTATTTTTAGTAAACAATCTAAATAATTCTGGTACAGCCAGTTAAGACATGGAACCCCTATTGGATACAGCCTCTGCTTTGTAGTGTGGTATAGGAGATCTTCAGTGATGTGGCCCTCGCTCCCTCTTTACACTCCTCTCCAGTTCCTCCTCCCTACTGTATTGTATACTCCAGCAATCCTGAAACATATCCAGCAATCCTGAGATACTACAAAAATTATTTGTTGCCGTGAAGAAGTGCCTCGGCTCACATTGTCCTGTCCATCTGAAACTTATTCGCCTCTCTGCCTGGCAAACACCTGTAATCAGGGGTCAGCACAAGCCTTTCCTCCTTGAGGTAGCTTCCCTGACTGCCCTAAGCCAAGCTCAGAGCTCCACTTCCTTTTGCCACGTCCCCCCACCACGTTCTGCACACTTTTTCAGCATAGCAATCTTCCCGTTTCCTTGTCATGGTTGAGTCGCACGTCTGACTGTCCATCTAACTAGAACTGTTGGTTGGAAGAAAGTATCTCTTTTCTCCTTTGGTTCACTAGGGCTTAATGGTGCTTGGCACATGACAGATTCTCAGTAACTCTTTGCTAAGTATGTAAATAATGAAATCAACATGCCTATCTGCTAGGCTTTTGTTCATCCATGGCTTTTTAATCTTCAGAACCAAATTTGCTGAAGCAAATTCTTTATGCAAATGGTATTAAGAATTCCTATATGATTAAAACATTTTTAATCAAATTGGACTGGTATTTCCCAATGGTACAAAAGTCAAAAAATGTCTTGCGAATCATTGTTAGAAATGGTAAAAAATATAGGCTGGGCAAGGTGGTTCATATCTATAATCCCAGCACTTTGGGAGTCTGGGGCAGGCGGATCACTTGAGGTCAGGAGTTCGAGACCAGCCTGGCCAACATGGTGAAACCTTGTCTTTACTAAAAATACAAAAATTAGCCAGGCATGGTGGTGCATGCCTGTAATCCCAGCTACTTGGGAGACTGAGACAGCAGAATCACTTGAACCTGGGAGGTGGAGGTTGCAGTGAACCAAGATTACCCCACTGCACTCCAGCATGGGCTACAGAGTAAGGCTGTCAAAAAAAAAAAAAAAAAAGAAAAGAAAAGAAAAGGAATGATAAGAAATACATCACATATTTATGAGGAAAGGGTAAAGTGTCCCAGATTAAATTCCTAGGCTATCAGGGAGGAAGGATCAACTTATAAAAACCGTCAGTGAGCCTGAAAGAAACAATAAGAACTGAAAATATTCAGCAATTATTTTGTGAATGTGACTTCCAAATCCAAGTCTAAGAAACACTGGTGGAGTGTATCAGAGCTTCCTGATATTCTCATTTCCATTTAGATTGTCATTTTATTATGAACCTTTGTGTCTGTAATACAAATTACTGTGCTTTCTATTTAGCAAATTACCAGGGGCTGGGACCCAAAGCACTGTTTCAAATTTGTTTTATCACCTGTTTGCCTGCACAAACCCTCAGAGCCTCACTCACTCTCACCACACTCCCTTCTATTGCCTCCTACACTTCAGTGTTATTGGAAGCCAAGAGAGTTAGCTGAGGCTTGTCCGGGAGCATTCATTGTTGGATTTTTTTTTTTCTTTCTGTACATGCCTTGGTGAAATAAGGTCCTAATTAAAACTTGGATCATTGATTGTTTTTTAGATGGTGAAAAGGCTGATATATCCGCCAATGTCTATCCAGACATAAACATCATCACTGGAGCCCTTAAACTGTATTTCAGAGACTTACCCATCCCTGTCATCACTTATGACACCTATTCCAAATTTATAGATGCAGCAAGTAAGTACTTCAAATTAATTTTTTATTTGTACCGAATTTTTAAGTACAATGCTTTTGACCTTCAGAAAATTAAAGCTCAGAACTGTTGAAATAATTGCATTTGTAACTGTCTTGCCAAGTGGGGACACAGCAGTACAGTTGATTGACAACCAGACATAGTTCAACAGCTGAGGTGAACTAGTACTAAGCCAACCCTGTGGGCTGATGTATGTGTCAGCCAGTTCTGTCCCCATCGTTCCTTGTATGCTGGGAACCAACACAGTCAGGCCTATTGTATGTTGAAAGCATGACTATTTCTGTAGCAGAAAAAAATGTTCAATGAGGACTGACTAGATCAAGGGTATCCAATCTTTTGTCTTCCCTCGGTCATACTGGAAGAAGAATTAATTGTCGGCCACACATAAAATACACTAACATTAATGATACCTGATAAGCTAAAAAGAAATTTAAAAATCTTAAAATCTTTTAAGAAAGCTTACAGATTTGTCCTGGGCCATCTTCAAAGCTGTCTTGGTCCATATGTGGCCCACAGGCTGCGAGTTGGACAAGCTTGGTCTAGATTAACTACTTTTTTCTGTTAAGCAGAATCTCATTTGCTAATCAAAGTCACAACCAAGTTTTGTCTATTGATTCATTCAAAATTAATAGAAGGCCAGAATACACTGTGTCAAGTACTGTACTAGAACATCTCACCAGCATCTTCTAGTTTAGTCCTCTCATGTATTCCATGTGGCAAACATTACAATCCCATTTAACAGAGAAGAAAAGTGAGGCTTAGAGAACTGAGGTCCTGGGTCCTAGAAAGGGACATCAGCGTTTGCCTTCCGTCAGCCCAGGGTTGCTCATTCAGTGTTCTGCGCTTGGACCCACTGCTGTAGGAACGAGGAACAGAGTGAAAGGCAGGTGTGGAGGAAGGGGCTACACTTTGCCCAGGAAGAGGCAAAAGTGACCAAAGGGAGATTGAGATGCCGAGATACATAACACAGAGGTCAAGCTTACTTTGAGGAAGTTTTTGCCTGTTTTTTAAAAACAACAACCTTTAAAGGTTGAAAAGTTTAAGTATGCTGTTAAATATAGTAATGAGATGCCTGATGGGAAGACACAAAAGCAGGCCGGGATCAGTGCGAGATGCACTTTTCAGATGAGCTGAGGCCCTGACCCCAGTTAAGACTATTCCCTCCTTCCAGGACCCTGGTGGTCCTGGCAAAGAAGGTTGTAGCATCTGGGTATCCTCCACTCCAGGAGGAATAGCAGGAACGTTTTCTTTGAGTAGCTGCCAATACCTATCAGAGACCCAAAAACCAGAAGCATGCACTCTTCCTCCCATTGTTAATATGTCCAGTTTCCACTTCCTAACCTGGGCTGTGCACCAGGGTTAAGCATGCCAGCACCAGGGTGAGAAGTGCCACGAGTGCAGGCTGAGTTGGGTGGCTCATTGCCAATGTCCTTGCCTTGTCAATGTATTAGGTTATAGAAGCCTGCCAGGGAAAGACTCATTAGACAACTTTACAAACATTTTCAAGTTTAAATGACAGCTTGTAGGAGTGAGATTTCTAGCAAATCCAGTGTTAAGAAGGCAGCAAAGCACAGTCTGCATACGTGCTCTCAGACTGTATGCATTCTCCTGACTTACACATTCATGGAGGGCAAGCCTCTGGCCACCCACACTGAGGACATTCAATTAGCATGTGGTACTCAGACTCAAACTCTTTCCTGAATGATGCAGGACATCAACAAATTGATTAAGTGAAACAGTGCTTGGGTTGCATGAATTTATTAGAATCCTCCCCCATTTCTGGCCAAAGCAAACACAGACTTCTTGTTACTTCTTTGAAAACGTGAATGCCACAACTCTGAACTAATATCCATCATGTGTGAACTTCACAGAAATCTCCAATGCAGATGAGAGGCTGGAAGCCGTCCATGAAGTACTGATGCTGCTGCCTCCTGCCCACTATGAAACCCTCCGGTACCTAATGATCCACCTCAAAAAGTAAGCTGGTGCCTCGTGCACAAAGCCCGGTCTCCCTCTAGGGCAGTTAATGCATAAGGAAAAGTGTATGCCAGTCCTCCCCAGCCCACTGAGGGGACAGAGCGTCCAGCCCCAGCCATAACTGCTGGAGCTTCACCGTGCCGGGAACCACTCCAGGCACTTTCAGTGTATCGTCCCTGTGAAAGGGGCACCGTTAGGGGCCTCGTGTCACTTGCGAGATTGCTGATGCTTGGGGAGGTTACATAGCTGATTTGAAGAGGTGAAGCCAGGATCTAAACCCAGGCAGGCCGATGCAGAGCCTTAACCATTTGTCTGCACTGCCTCCATGTCTTCCTCTGACACAAGCCCTGTACCCTGTGTCCTGTTCTTCCCCTGTTGTTTGCCCCCTTCTAGGCTCCTGAGCCTGCCTGCCTTCTGGGAGAGCACATTCCCAACCCGATTTCTTATTTTTCTGGATGTATGAGTTCTCCGTTACGAAGTAACAAATTACCCCCAAAACTCAGGGTCTTAAAACAGTAGACATTTATTATCTCAGTTTCTAAGTGTCAGGAATCCAGGTAGGCCTCAGCTGGCTGCCTCTGATTCAAGGTCTGTAATGAGGCTGCAGTCTCATCTGAAGGCTTGATGGCCTATAATCCCAGCTACTCAGGAGGCTAAGGCAGGAGACTTGCTTGAACCTGGAAGGCAAAGGCCACAGTGAGCGAAGATCGCGCCACTGCACTCCATCCTGGGTGACAGGGTGAGACTCTGCCTTAAGAAAAAAGAATTCACTCTTGAAGTCTTGATGGTGGTGGCATCTGTCTCAAAGCCTGCTCACATGGTTGTTGGCAGGATTCAGTTCCTTAAAGGCTGTTGGACTGAAGGCTTTACCTCCTCGCCATCTATTTGCTGGAGGCAACCCTCAGTTCCTTGCCATGTGCGTTTCTCCATAGGCAGCTCACAGAAAGCCAACTGGCTTCTCGCAGAGCAAGAAAGCAAGAGCACCCAGTATGAAAGTCTTTCTGTAACCGAATCAGAAGTGACATCCTATTGCTTTTGCCATGTTTTGTTAGAAGCAAACCAAGTCCAGCCCGTACTCTAGGGGAAGGGATGCAGGGTATGAATTCCAGGAGGCATGGATCACTGAGGACTATCTCGGAGAGTAGCTGCCACACACAGGGCTGTCTATGTGAGTGAGTGTGTGGGAGTCAGAGATGGAGACATTTGGATGTTTCCAGGACATTAGAGCCTCTACTGACACTCTTTTCCCTAAACCTTGTGTGATGAGGTCGATGAATTGGTGTTGTAACATTGGAGGGATCAAGGCACATCTGTGTGCCTCTGTGTTTTTGAAAAATACTTGGCAGCAGCCCATTCTTTGATAAAATGAACTAAAAGTTGTCTACATGGACCAGTTTACAGATCTACTTAGTAAGTGAAAGGAAGCAAACTGAGGACTATATAAACACTAGGACTGTATAAACACTAGGTATTGAGGTTTTTATTTTTCTGCCTTACAAGACATTCAATACCATTGCTCAGATTCAGAGTGATAGATGGTGGTAACATTTAGCTCAGAATATTCCCATTTTGATTAATTTATTGAATTTGGGAGTACCAGTAATTTTTAGATTTTTTATTGTGATCAATATCCAGTTGTTACAATTTGGAAGGCAAAGTATCACTATCAGAAAAAATGTTGACATCTTTCAGTTGAACCTTAAATGCCAATAATGTTGTATTTTTATCATGGCGGGTTTACTAGCCATCTTGTTTGGTCAGATGTAGTGTTTGACTTAAGAGGAAGCTGTGCACACTTTGATGGTGAGAAATGTCCTCTTTCCAACCTTCTTCTTAGCTTTGTGGCATGTAAATGATGCAAACAGGTTGACCTTAAAATAATGCTCAGTGGCTAATCCTAATAAGTTCTAAGGAAATACAAAGGGATGGCTAATCTATGCAAAGCCTAAACACATTTTAATTACATTTTGCTGTTTTGAAGAGAACCCACTCCCTTTTACATCTGTTACAAACATTCTAAAACATAAATCTGTGAAAACAAAACTCTGGGAGGTTGTAATTTTATTCCATGAGGAAGGTGTTAAACCAACTTTGCAGTTTGAATTTTATTCTTAAAGGCTCTGCCGTTCTTATCTGGATGTCAAAATGATGATTTTTAATTTCAACTGCTGTAGCCCTCATCCTGTGGGAACCAGAAATAATGTCCAACTGCCTTCCAGTTTGGCCACATTCCAGCCGTTCCTCCACCCCATGATAATGGCCAGGCTCTTCCTAAATTCATGACGGCCCATTCTACACATAACCTTTCTCGTCTGCCACTGGTCCTGGCAGCAGACAAGGATCCCGCCCTCCGCTTCCCACTCTCCAGCGTACAGACCAACAGGAAGCCACAAGAGGGGAAAAAAGCCTTCCGCTGGACCACGGCCAGCCTCAGAATCTGCTGCCCCTACAAACCAGTATTCTAGTCCTTAAGTGATAGTTCCACATTTACTTAATAAGGAGGACTAATTTTCTAATTCTAAAAATTGTGTTCCTGCCAGATTCACATAAGTAATTCATTTCCACCGGCGAAGGTGACATCAACAATTTAAAAAGAAAAATCGGTAAATTACCCTTTGAAAAAATACCTTTCTGCTATTCTGATTCCTAATTTTTTCTTGCAGTTTTCTGAGCCAGAGATGTTCTTGGGACTTACGTATATAATCAATGCAGAAATCAATCCTCAAGTCTCCGTAATGTCTCTGTTCTGTTTTGCAGGGTTACTATGAATGAAAAAGATAATTTCATGAATGCAGAAAATCTGGGGATTGTGTTTGGGCCCACGCTGATGAGGCCCCCCGAGGACAGCACCCTTACCACCCTGCATGACATGCGGTACCAAAAGCTGATTGTGCAGATTTTAATAGAAAACGAAGACGTTTTGTTTTAACCCATCAGGGAAATGAGCTGAATGACCCCAGCACCATCCAAGTTGACAAAGCTAAAGGAATAAAAACATTTCTTACACTTGATTTGTTTTCCAAACAAGTGATAGAATTTGCTGGACCGCAGAGGATCGCCGAGCGGGGTACTGTGTCTCACAGACGCGCGCCACCTCCATACAAGAACAAGGGTAAAGGTGAGGAAAGCCCCTCGCCTTGGATCTTTTGCTGTGCCTCCTATGTATGTCTGGTTTGCTGGAAGAGTGATTAATACATCTTTAATTTATTAAACAATGTAGACCTTTACACTTCAGTCTTACTGGTAATAAAAGGGAACTTACTTCATAAAGGTACTTGATACAGTTATACATTTCCACTTACTTACAAAAAGAAGACAATTCTGTTCAATGTTAAATGCTATTATCATAAAATGTATTTTTATTTTAGCCACAAGAATGTTATTTTAGCAAATAGAAGTCAATGCAGTGCATTGGTTATTACGCTGTGTACCTTGTCCCTCATTTTGCTGTGATGCCCTGAAAAAGTTGACCATGAATGCAGTATTATCTCGACATACCTCTGTCCTTCTCAGTGCTTTTCAATGAAATTTCACCTGCCCCTTGTGTTCCTGCTTTTGATAGTTTTTGCTCTTAAGCACTGGCATTCTGCTACTGTACGGTATATATTTATAGCAATTGTAGGACAGTCTGAAATGTCCACTAATTTTCTTTTCATACCAATTTTGTGAATTCCCAAAGTATGTTTTGGAATTGGTCATAGTCTTTTGCAATCATTTTACCTAAAATTATTTGAGAACACCAGATGTATCTGGTCTGTGTAAAAAATTTAGCACCTTTCCTCCTGTCTTCCCGGCCAGGCCCTCTGAATATCAAATTGTATTTTTGCCACATTTCTGTATTGGTGAAAAGCAAATCTGCAGAATAATTGTCAATGTTTTTCATTTTGTTTTATAAACCTATTTTTAAAAGTGAGAATAAGGTTGGTTGGTCCCAAATGTTTGTTCCTCCCTGATAAAAGTAGCTCTGTATGGATAATTTAATATGATTTTATTACTATAGTTCCATTCTCTTGGTTATATTTATCTTAGCATGAGCCTTTCACACCAAGATTTCTATATTTTGTAACATAGGTGAAATATTTAAAACATCAGAAACTGTAAATCTAGATTTTTAAAAAATCCAACTACACTGTCTTTTCCTCTGATTGAGATGATTTGTGTAAACTCAGCAGTCTTGCTTTGGAGTGGGCAGAAGAGAATGACTGTGTGTTACATGGAGCTGAAAGGAGGACCACCGTGTGACTGTTGACCTTGACAGTCCCAACGGCTATGCAGATGGACTCCATTGGCACACGGAGGTCAGAATGCTTTGACCTCTTCCCTAGTATCCCTCCTCCCAACTGTACAGACTTGTTTGTTGTAGTTTATGTACTTCTTGATACTGTCAAAAAATTATCTGGAAATGGTTTTATTTTGTGAAGTGAACAATACTTTGTAATTTATGATAGTGTAAATGGAAAGCAAAGCATCACATGTATTAAATTCTTCTGTCTATTATTCTGGAGTATGTGCAAGAAAGTGGTTTGGAGGGGTGGAGGGAAGATTGTCAAAATGTTGTTTCCAGATAGCTGTTGGCAACAGATTAACACAATAATCTCATCGAGTCCCCACTCCTGCAAGCTTCCTTCTAGAGAGCCTGATTTAAGACTAAGGCGGCCTGGGCACAGTGGCTCAGGCCTGTAATCCCAGCACTTTGGGAGGCTGAGGTAGGCAGATCACAAGGTCAGGAGTTGGAGACCAGCCTGGCAGATATGGTGAAACCCTATCTCTACTAAAAAAATTTTTTAAATTAGCCAGGTATGGTAGTGGGTGCCTGTAATCCCAGCTACTCAGGAGGCTGAGGCAGGAGAATCGCTTGAACCCAGGAGGCAGAGGTTGCAGTCAGCCAAGATTGGGCCACTACACTCTGGCCTGGGCAACAAAGTGAGACTCCTTCTCAAAAAAAAAAAAAAAAGAAAAGAAAAAAAAAGATTAAGGCTCTGAGGTTCCACCTTCACTTTCCAAAAGCCCCAGTGCATGGATGCCTCCATACAGAGGTGAGGCGTTTAGGGCAAACCACCCAAGGCCACTTGGCCAGGAGCAGAACATGAATTTTAAAGTCAGAAAGCCCTGAATTTGAATCCTAGATCCATCCATCTAGTACTACCTGCATATAACCATGGGAACTTTGCACCTCTGAAAAACTGAGGATAATATTCTGATTGTGACATCTTAAATGAAATTTATGTTCTAGGGTGATTAGTTATTTCTTATTATTACCATTTTAGAAGGGGAAAAAGGATATAACATGGAAGCAGGGATGGAACAAGCATAAGAAGAAAACTTTGTCCCACGTGAAATCCAAGTCCAAATAGCCCTAAAGGATAACAGGGCTCCATAATGGGTAATGAGGTTCACTTGACTCCTTTTCTCAACAGTGATTCCAACACTTGATTCCCTCTTCCTTGCTTTAGTCTGAAGCCAGCTCACCCACACCTGTCTTCCCCACCATCTGGCAGCCTGACATGGCTCCCCTTACCTGGCTTGAAATTCCTGCTATTGGAGTAACTCTGGTAGTTAGACCATCAAGGAGGCAGCACGGTTTCCAGAAACCACTGTTAAACTGCCAACAATTGAGTTGCAGGAAGTGGGATGGGAGCAGGGTGGATGGGAGGAGACCCCTTTTTCTTTCTTCCATTGACAAAAATGGACATTCCAGATGACCTGGTCTCCACAGCTTCGAGGGGCTGCTGCACATGTCAAGGGTAACAGCCTAGAAAGGAAGAGAGAGAGAGAAAGCTAAGGGAAGGGCAGTGAAGACAGCATCAGAAATAAACATACGTAGATAAAAGATTGCCTGGGCTGTCCTGGCTCCTATGAAATCCCAACTCAGCTTATAAATTCCCAAACTTATCAATCTCCAATGTGTAATCAGTCTTTTATTTTAAAATATAACAAACTTTTAACCAGTATGTATCAAACATTTATTAATGAGCCAGACACTGAATATTTGGAGGTGAGGAAAAGGCTTATCGCACTAGAAGAATCAAATAATGAATTTAGTCTGGCTAGAGAAAGGAAATTGATCATGTGAAAGGTTTTGAACTCTAAGGGGAACCGTTGCTAATGATTTTTTAAATAAACTTTTAATCCTGCAATAGTTTTCTATTTACAGAAAAGTCACAAAGATACTATAGAAAGTTTCTATGTATCCCTTACCCAGTTTCTACTAATGCTAACATCTTACATAATCATGGTATATTTATCAAAATTAAGAAACCAACATCAGTACATTACTATAGCTGACCTCCAGGCTTTATTCAGATTCCATGGGTTTTTCCACTACTATCATTTTCCTGTGTCAGGATACAATCCAGGGCACTGCACTGCATTTAGCACTATAGTGGGTTTTAAGGGGCAGATGACACAATCTGATTCATCATTTTAAAGCATGACTTGATTGTGAATGCACTGGAGAAGAGCTGAGCAGGTGGGTAGTAGTGAGTGGATCAGGAGTCAGGTCGATGTTCATTATTGTAAAATTGGACTGATGTTGGTAGCCTGGATTGGTGGTAGCGAGGCACTGAGTTAGAGATAGGAAGAAGAAATCAAGAATGACTCCCAGGTTACTTAATTTGGCAACTGGGTAACATTTACTGAAACTAAGGACACAGAAAGAGGAACTAGGGGCTACTGGGGAAGAGTGGAAGATGTAGACAAGATAATGAGTTCCATTGTGGATGTGATACAATGGAGATACCTGTGAAATGTCCACACAGATGTTTCATAAGTAATTGCACTAACAGACTAGGAGATAGGGATTTGGGAGGGACCCACTAAAGATAACAATTGAAAACACAGGGTTGAGTAAGTACCCAGGGACATGGAACAGAGAAATTCCATCTCTGGAGGAATGCCCATCCAGGGAGGCCCCATCCAGAGGGAACACCAACATTCAGAACAGAGAAAAGAGCACAAATAAGGTCCATTTTAATGTAATAAAATGTAGAGGACCTTATGAGGGCAATTCAGAAACACACTCTCCCATCTTCAGGTTTGCTTCACAATGTCCTAATATATTTATTTGTTCTACTTAGATTGCTTTTGCTATAGGTAAGTCATCATTTTAAACCCTGTGCTTTGGAGAGGTTGGCTTAGATACCTTGTAAATGCAAATAAGCCAGTGGTATGGTCTGAGTGTGTCCCTGCAAAATTTATGTGTTGAAACCTAATCCCCAATGCAATGGTATTTGGGAGGTGATTAGGTCATGAGGGTGCAGCCATTACAAAGGGGATTAGTGTTCCTATAAAAGAGACCCCAGAGATTTCCCTGTCCTTTCCATCTTGTGAAGACACAATAAGACAACCTATGAACCAGGAAGCAGGCCCTCACCAGACACCAAATCTGCCAGCATCTTAGTCTTAGACTTCCCAGTCCCCAGAAGTATGAGAAATAAATTTGTTAATTATAAGCCATCTGGTCTATAGTATTTTGTTATAGTAACCTGAACAGACTAAGACAGCCGATGTCATTTTTTTCCCAAGTTAAAATAATTTTATATTCAAGGATCTCCATTGCTGCCTCCATACTACAGTTTGAACACACTTCCAGTATAGTGTATCGCAAAGTATTACACTTGTGTATACAGCAGACTTCCACTAAAGTACAAATTCCTTGAGATCAAGAACCATGAATACCACCTGCATGGATGCCACATGGCACACACTCCTACTCATTCGGCAAGGCTCAACTCAACAGCTACCTCTCCTCTATGATGTCTAGAAGCATCTCATGAGTAATTGCGTATGTGTCTCCTGGCAGAGAACGTCGGAGGTGCCAGCCATAATTGAAAGCATGGATGGTTTAAACACTATGAGTTGAGTTTGGCTGGGCTTGGTGGCTCATGCCTACAGTCCCAGCTACTCAGAAGGCTGAGATGGGACAATCACTTGAGCCCAGTAGTTCGAGGCTGCAGTGAGCCATAATTGTACCACTGCACTCCAGCCTGGGTGACAGAGTGAGGCCCTGTCAAAAAAAAAAAAAAAATGTTAGGTTTAACCAGAGCATGAAGTGTGAGGGGAGAGGAAGGACTGTGAGATTACATAGCAGGCATATGTGAGGGAATAACAAAATTTATATACCAAGCAGAAATAGAACCTCAGGACATTCAAACTTAGATCTTTAGTTATAGATGACACACAAAGGAGAGACCAGAGGATGTAAGACTAAGGACATGGAAGCTGATCAGGAAGCTGTCACCGGCAATGATGACCTGCATGTGGTTCACAGCAGGAGGGATGGAGAAGAGGCATGGATACGAGA